GAGAGAGAGAGAGAATTTTTAATATTTATTTTTTAGTTCTCGGCGGACACAACATCTTTGTTGGTATGTGGTGCTGAGGATCGAACCCGGGCCGCACACATGCCAGGCGAGCGCGCTACCGCTTGAGCCACATCCCCAGCCCCTGGCAGTTCCTCTTGACAGTTACACCTAGTTAACCAAGGCCAGGCCAGTTCTGCCTGAGACACATACCCAGGAGAATGGGAAACCTGCATCTGCATGGAAGCTCGTTCAGGGAGCTCCTAGGGATCGGGAGTGCGCAGAGCAGTGTTACTCACAGGAGCCCAAAGTGGAAACCCTGGTGTTTTGTCATGTGGTTTTTTTCTTAGTGGTGTTTCGTGCATACCTGTCCATGTTGCTGCACACTCCCACCTCCTGGGAATGGACAGGAGGTGCTCCATTGTTTTTTCTGATTCAACTCACTGACCTCTGTATGTTCTTTCTGGTTCTCACTATGCTAAATGTTGCAGCAAAAATCCTGAATTTTAGAATGTGTCCTTATTTATTCTCTTAGGTTGGATTCCCAAAATGGAATTGCTGGGTCATGGGTTGCAGACTTCTAATGTTCTAAATTCCTCCTGTTCCTTTGCCCTCCAGTGCTTTGGTGGTCAGCTTGCCACCATCAGATGTGAGACTGTGTGGCTGAAGCTCTGGGTGTTTTGGGTTTTTTTAAAATATTTTTTTAGTTATACATGGGCACAATGTCTTTATTTTGTTTATTTATTTTTATGTGGTGCTGAGGATCGAATCCAGGGTCTCACATGTGTGAGGTAAGCACTCTACCACTGAGCCCCAGTCCCAGCCCTATCTGGGTGTTTTTTTTTTGAGATAGGGTCGCACTATGTTGCCCAGGCTTGCCTCAAACTGGAGATCCTCCTGCCCCAGTCTCTTAAGTAGCTAGGATTATAAGTGTGTGCCACCACATCTTGACAAGCTTTTATGTATTTATTTGTTTGTTTATTTATTTTTTAGTTGTTGATGGATCTTTATTTACTTATATGTGGTGCTGAGAATCGAACCTAGTGCCTCATACATGCTAGGCAAGCACTCTACCACTGAGCCACAACCCCAGCCCTTAACAAGCTTTTAAAGTTGAAAATTTACCGGACTTTCTCAGTTTCTTTTCTTGTTTTTACTTATTTTTTAGTTGGACACAATATCTTTATTTATTTTATTTTTATGTGGTGCTGAGGATCAAACCCAGGGCCTTGCTCATGCTTGGCAAGCACGCTACCACTGGGCCACAACCCCAGCCTGGACTTTATCTGTTTCATAAGTAAATAAGCTTATGTAGTTCATTTAGAAAATACAGGAAATTAGGAAGATTGGAAAAATCCCATCATCTTCCTGCTTTAAAGATGTTAACATTGGGCTGGGATTGTGGTTCTGCACTAGAGCACTCACCTAGCACATGCAATGCCCTGGGTTCAAACCTCAGCACCACATAAAAAAAAAGGTAAAAAAACAAAAAAGTTAACATTTTCGGCATGTTTCCTCCTGGTGTTGCTTTCTTGCCCTGGCATTGTGTGAGGCTGTGGTTGTGATGCGGGTGTAGTTTACTGGCCTGGTTCTTGCAGACCTTGGCCAGACCAGCTGTGTGTGTGTGTCTCCCCTTAGGGTCGTGACGAGCATTCTCGTCTCTAGGTTCCCATTGCATATCTCTTGTGCTGAGCACTTTGTGCATCAAACTCTGTACTTAGGGTCCTCAGGATAGTCATACACGTGAAATCTTTGCACTGAAAGACTTTAAGTACATTTTAGAGCTTTGCATAAAAGTGCCAAGTTCAGTTTCAGAGGGTGGTGCTCTCGTTCAGAGAACTCTCTAAAAGGCTGCTTCTGTGGTGAGCCAGCGTTTCCATGTGAGAAGTGGAGCAAGCCAGACTTAGCTGGGTGCAGAGTGGAGGAGGGGTCCTGTGTGGCGGCTGCTGGCCACTCCCTTCTGCTTTGCCACTGAATTGCAGCAGCCCCTCCATTCTGCATTTGCCAAGCACGACTGTGAACCTGGCAGGGAGAGTTGCTGCAGCTGTGAGATGGCTTGGTGACTACTCCTGGGACATGACCACAAAGCCTCTCTCTTGTCATTAGGGGAGTGAGGGGCTGGGGTTATGGCTCAGTGGAGCCCTTTGCCTCCCACATGTGAGGGTTCTATAAAAATAGAATAAAGAGGGGCTGGGGTAGGGCTCAGTGGTAGAGCGCTTGCCTTGCAAGCACAAGACCCTGGATTCAATCCTCAGCACCACATAAAAATAAATAAGTGAAATAAAGGTATTGTGTCCAACTACAACTAAAAATTTAAAAAAAAATAGAGCAAAGATATTGTGTCCAGGTATAACTTAAAAAATATTTACAAAAAAGAAAAAAAAAAGGAGAGAGCCAGCAAAACTTGCTAAGTTGGTCAAATGTACCTCCTTCTCCCTGTCCAAGGTGTCTTTCCCACCCTAGGAGTGATCAGGAGCCTACAAACCTTGTCTTCTCATCCCTCCTGGGCGGCCCAGGGAGCGCGGGGACTCTGAAGGGGAGCTTCCTAACTCTCCTTTCATTGACCTTCACAGGGAGTCAGAGTGGACATGAGAGATCATAGTGGAGCCACGGCCCGGATGCTGGCCAAGCAATATGGACACATGAAGATTGTGGCCTTGATAGACAGTCACTCGCCTGCTCTGCCTAAGAACCTCTACCGGAGCCCAGGTATCTATATTTGCTGCTCTGCTTTATGCATTCTGGGTCTCTTTCTGGCTGTGGAGGCATTCAGAAGAAGACAGCTGGCCTCCCTATTGGGAGGCCCTCTTTCCCCAGCTCTTGCTATAAGGAGAGAAAGACAGTCAATTAATGTGGAGAGTGGTCCCTGCTGGCCTGATATTGTGCATAGCACAGGGAGTGTGGAGCCCCTGGGAAGTGGGGTAGGAGGGGAGCCTCACAGAGGCTGCTTTTCTGTTTTGTTTTTTTTCTTGTGGTACTGAGGATTGAACCCAGGGCTTTGTGCATGCAAGGCAAGCACAACTGAGGTATATCCCCAAGCCCTGTTTTTTAAGTTTTTTTTTAAGAGAGAGATTTTTATTTTAATATTTATTTTTTAGTTTTCAGTGGACACAACATTTTTTTGTATATGGTGCTGAGGATCGAACCCGGTTGCAGGCATGCCAGGCAAGTGCGCTACCACTTGAGCTACATCCCCAGCCCCTGTTTTTTTTTTTTAATTTTTGATTTATATTTTTGTGGTGCTAGGGATCAAACTCAGGGCCTTTCATGTACTAGCTCTATCATGGAGCTATATCCCCAGTCCTGTTTTTTTTTTTTTTTTTTTTT